AACGATCCCTCACTGCTCAATAGCCGTAAGTGCCTAGTTTAGGACAAAATTTGCAGCTCTCTCCACCGGCTAGTGGATGCGTCTCCATATGAGTGAAAATTCTCGAGAGGGACGTTAAACAACACTATTCAGAACTTGATATTAAAAATATGCTTCGATTTTTTATTGACAATATCTATGTGGTTTTTGGAGACCAGGTCTTATAAACAATCTGTTGGAATTCTCATATATACCAATTGCGACCCGTTGTTAGCAGACCTATTTTTGTATTCATATGAAACAGAATTTATCCAAAATCTTATTCATGAGAAAAAGAAATCTCTTGCTGTGGCTTTCAACTCGACATATAGATATATCGACGATGTTTTTATCAATTAACAACACACATTTAGTTATTTCCATTCATATGTCCACACGATCTATCCCAAAGAGCTTGAAATAAAAGATACTACAGAGTCTGACACGTCTGTTTCATATTTGAATATTTTACTAGAAAAAGACGTTAATGTTAATCAAACAACAAAGCTTTATGATAAACGTGATGACTTTAACTTTACAATCGTCAACTTCCCTTACTTATGCAGCAATATACCCTTATCTCCTGCATATAGTGTGACTATCTCTCAATCGATTCGATACGCAATATCATGCTCTACGTATGAACAATTTCTAGAACGGGGTTAGTTATTGACAAACAAGTTGATGAAACAAGGATAACAACAGACTCGTTTAAGGTCATCATTTTAGCTCTACTGGTCAGAGACCAGAAGAGCTTATGCGATAGTAAGGTGTCCGTCGTTCATCTGTCTGTATGCTCTAAGAGTCTCGGAGTAAGGAGCTGATCCTTACGTCGCGAGTTCCAATCCATTGTTTGCCGTCGAGACCAGTCTTTTGGATGATACCGTGTAGAAAGAGGTCCCATGTCGCAGTAGGTGTTGGTACGAAAAAGTACCCACCTAGATCTTTGTATCATTTGGACCTTCTCAGATTTCTTTGTGAAAATTGAAACCATTTACACTTTTTAAATGAGAAACCACTTTATTCGAGCGCTAAGTGCAATAATGTCCGAGCTATTTGCTCAAGAAACAAGAATTGTCAAAAAGGCAAGCTGAACCCCTGTCCTAAAAAACGAAAAAATGTGGGAAAAGAACATTTTAGGGAATTCTACTTCAAAATATTTACTGAATTCAGCCTTCTCTTAAAACTGTTTGCTTAAAGAGGCATCGACGAACATAGGAACCTATCGGTTGATCAGTTTGAACTGCATGATTTGAATGCTGATGCAAACGAAAGACCTTACATTGTTTTCAAAGGGCGCATCAGTGAAATACTAAGTAAACAAAGGTAAGATTATAATTTATGCAAAAATATTTAACAAAAAACAGCTATCAGAATTATACATTTTTGCGTAGTGTGAATTAACAGTAATTTGCATCATCTACAAAAAAACCCTGTTTTAAACAGGGATGAAAAGGAATTGCATGAAGTGTTTTTTTTTCGGACAGGAAGGGGTTCTAGAATGAACATGTAATACTAGTGTGACGGCAGACAAGAATAATATTTACTTAATGATTATATTCAGGTGGTCTGAACCAGTAGGATGTTTCGCCAAAAAATCATCAAGTATACTTTTGTAATGATTTCGGAATTTTCAGATACGACCATGCGGATTTCTCTATTAGTCACTGTTGATATCACGTGACATTAATAGGGTATATATACTGAGACTCCGCAGTCGTCTGTTGTTATTGTGAAGACCAAGCCGATCAGAGAAGACGAGTGTAAGTGTAGTATTTACGGTTATTAATTCCTCGCCTGTGTTACAGTTTGAGAGTGAATTTGGAAGGCCATTTGAGGTTTGACAAACCAGATATAAGGCCTGCCACGAAGAGATTGTCCTCCAGTAAAGAGGCTAGCCATAAAGTTAGCTCGTCTGCATTGGCTGACCAGTCTGTCCAGGCTGCTGTAATCATTGTCCGTCCTGAATAAGGCATCCTACAGTGAGTGTAGTGGTTGAAGGGCTATCACATATACTGTCCGTCCTGAATAACGCATCCTACAGTATATGCGGTAGTCTGAGGGCGACTGGGCTCTACTTTAATTAGTGTAAGGGTTAGGACTACCAGCTAATTTATTGTTGCTTGCCTCTGATTGTTAGATTGATTTACCATTTGATTATTGTTTACCTAGATAAGGTTAGGACATATTTGTATATTTCGGCAGTCCACTTAAATCATACCAATCAGTTTTTAATCAGTTAATGTTGAACACCCAAAACCCTGGAATTGACCAGGTACGACCCCTGTGATTAATGTAAATACGTTACATTTTCTGTAATGAAAAGTTGTACAATGGGTGTAAGGAGTATATTTGCCTCATCCTTAGTACTGACAGTGATCCGACAGCAACCTTCTATAGACGAGCGTTAGACGGCAGAAAATTTGGCAAGCAATGCATTGGCATCAATAAACTGTCAACAGTGATGAATCTCCATATGTCATCCAGGTGTCAAGAGGGCGGTTTGGACGGTAATTTTACCAGTCACTCCGGGAAGCGATCATGTGCGACCGCGCTATATCAGGCGTGAGTGAAGAAACAAGAAATTATGGCCCTAACGCGCAATCGTTTGATAGAATTCGTTCGACAATATTAAAGGGCATCACTCATTAAGATGACATTGTGAAGGAGATACCCAACGTGTCAGATCCATAACGCATCAAGAAAAATTCAGATGAAGCAACTTTCGCTATTTCTACATCTGCCTCCCCATTGATGTTGATGCATCGGAGTCCAACCTTCACCCAATGTATCTTTAATTTCAGCGGGTTTCAGCATATCCAGGTAGATATTTCAGTGCAAATTAACAATTTAGTAAGCAAAGTAACTGGGTTACATTGTGTAAACTTAGAGAAAGAAACTCTGAAACTCTCCATTTTCATATCCTTTTTTACTTATCACTTCCAAATACCGTAATAATGATGATTTAAGACAGAATGTTTCTCTTTTTTGGTGTTGGCACATGTAATTTTCATTTTGATTTGTCCATAAAAACGGTTATTTATTTATTTATTTGAGAGAACTTATGTTTGTACTTTTTAATTTGATTGATTGTATGTTGTTTTACGTCCCATTCTAGAATTTTTCATTCATATAGAGACGTCACCATATACCGGTAAAGGGCTTAAAATTTTGACCTTAACTCGGCACTCAGGGCCATTGAGTACCGAGTGATCTTTATCCTGCTAACGCCTGCCGTGACACGGGGCCTCGATTTTTAAGGTCCCATCCGAAGGACCCACAACTTCCACTTCAAAGTGCCGGGCGCATGGCGAAGGAACAGTGGCTACCTATTTTTTTTTATCGACTTAGGACAGTCGCGGCCGAGATTCGAACTCACGACCTCCCGATCACGAAGCGAGCGCTCCACCGACTGAGCTTTTTAAAACCGACGGTCTTTTTAATTTGAAGTATCTCAGCAATATTTTGAAAGAGGGTGTGCGTGCGTGTGTGTGTTTATTTCTGCAATTTTGTTTTGAGTTACATTCAAGAAATGCAATAAATGAAAAATATTCATTATAAAACGTTTACGTAACAGGAAGGCAGAGTTCAAAATTAGTAGGATATATATTGGCCACAGAAAAGTGTTGGTTTGCTCAAAATACACCATGGGTTCGAACAAAGAAAATGTGGTGTATAAATGTTTATCTATGCTACAAATTAAATGTGTCTCCCAACCTTGAGAAAGCTCCTATTAAAACCTGTGTTGCGCCTTGCCCTGTCTAATTTCGCTCTCCATATAAAATCGAATGAAAAGTAATTTGCAGCTTATGCCTCAAACAGTGATTTGGAATTCCTTGGCAAGACTGATTTTCAATAGTTCATTTCAAGACAATCCAGACCTCACTCCCTTCACAATATCCTGGTCTTGGCACCAAAGATTATATCCTGTGTAAGACAATAACAATTATGACGTTATAATCACAAAAATTTTCAACAGGTATAATTAAATTTATTACAGTTAAGAAAATCGATAAAAAGGTTTTTCGCGTTTTGGTTTAAAATAAGATCTTAAATTCGTATTCAATTGTCAGGGTAGCTCAGCCGCGACTGACCTAAGTCGATAAAAACCAGGTACCAACTGTTCCTTCCCCAAGCGATCGGCACTTTGAAATGAAAGTTGCGGGTCCTTCGGATGAGACCTTAAAAAGCGAAGTCCCATATCACGGAATGCATAGGCACGATAAAAATCCCTCACTGCTCAATGGCCCTGAGTGCCGAGCGAAGGTCTAAATTTGAAGCCCTTCATCGGGATATGTTGACGTCTCTATATGAGTGAAAAATTCTCGAATGGGACGTTAAACAACATACAATCAATCAATTGTCTGAAAATTGACTATACAGAAAAATGTCATCAGATGATGATAAAGGGTTGTAAAGTGTAGACTTGATCCCTTTTGTTGCACGGTGTAATGGAATGGTCATAACCTTGTTCGACAATGTTTTTTAATATGTCCCCGCGCAGTTGTTCTCCTATTGAAATACGCCAGGTTTGAGGAAGTGATGTTTTTTTTCCAATATCGATTGGAATGTACTTAATGTCTTCCTGTTTGTAGTTTGCAATTTGGTACAAGGGTGCTGTGACATGCCAATATTTCCCACTTTTCCCATCACACAAGAACCACTGGCTTCTACGATAGATAAATATTTTTTTTCTATCTGGCACACAATCTTAATTAAAATTAGATCTTTGATCCGCTCCAACTAGATCGGTACAAAAAGATTTGACGAAACCCCTATTCGTAGGTCAAATCCAGTGACCTTTCAGTTATGCATATTCAATGTTCATTTCAGCCAATCAGAGAGCTTTTTTATAGCATTTCATGGAGAAAAAGTTCGGGAAAAATTACGATGGGGACCGACATAGAGAGTGCTATTGAGAGAGTATTAAAAGATTTTAGGGTTCAAACGTTAAAAGAAGAACAAAAAGATATGTTACAGGTTTGAATAATAAAAACTGCATGGCAATTTTACCAACCGGATATGGGAAGTCATTGCCATATCAGATGTTTATACATGTGAGAAAAGAGTTACAGATTCAGCGATCCTCAGGCGCAGACTCTTCCAACGTTGGAAAGATTATCGTGCCTTCTCCTTTAATTGCATAAATGCAAGATTAAGTGGACAAATTGAACTCAATTCCAAACGTGAACGCAGTTTACAAAGGTAGGTTTTTAATATAAACTGATTAATATTATTAGTTGAGGGGGGGATCGAGGTAAAACAAAGCAGTCCCCCTCATCATTTCCGCTCTAGTGCCTGCGCTTAACACAGTGGAGTAAAATTTTATGGATTACAATCTGATAATATGTGTTTATTATGAAGGTTATAGATGGTAAAAACTTTTTCACAGGCTAGAGTAAAGACAGTGACCAGGTAATAGCAGAGGGCAAGTTTGATCATCTCATTGCATCGCCAGAGGCGTTGGTTGGCAGCAGTGCCTTCCGGCAAATACTTAAGGGATTAAAAGTACACACAATTGTGGTAGATGAATACCACACTATGTGCACATGGTAAGAAACCTGTATTTTTTTTTTCTTTTTAAACTGTCATCCGCTCCACTTGACAACCTTGTTTCCATTTAATATTACTATCATTTTTAACTGTAACACAATACCATGCACCTGGCTAAATAGTTCTTTTTATTTTATTTTTTTTGTTCTTTGTATTTATACTATTTTATTATATATATTATCATGCAATTTTACTTCCAGGGGAGGATTAGGGGATGACGAGCAGTTAGCCTTTAGAAAATGGTTCCGGCACATAGGGTAGCTATGGTATATGTTTCCCTCTGCAAATTTATAGGCTGTCAGTGCAACTTGTAACGAGATAATTCGTCGAACAGCTTTGAAGGAACTGGGGTTGCTAAAAGAATGCACAGCATTGATTATAAGATCACCAGATAAATATTACATATGTTAAAATAATTGACAGCTCCATAGAAATGCCTATGCAGTTTTAACTTGATTCTCTAGAATAAGAGGCTTTTCCACGCACAATTAATTATGCTACCAGTGTGAAGGAGGTGTCTGAGTTGTACATTTATTTATGTAACGAAAACCCACTATTAATAATTAAAGTAGATATGTTCCATTCCGAGACATCAGATAAAAAAATTGACATTGCTAAAAAGCCCCAGGGTGGTGACAGTCAAAATAAACTTGTAATAGCAACTTCTGCCCTTGGAATGGGCATAGACATTGCAAACTAATTCAATAATTTTATGTGTTATACAATCTACAACTACAGACTTCGTACAGGAAGTAGGTAGAATTGATAGAGGTGGCAAGGAGTCTATTGCATTGTTGTTGTACAATAATTATCACCTGCAACATGCAGAAATCAGTAAAAAGCATATATACACCACTCAGACATGTCTAAGAGCTTCCATAATGAAAGATTTCTTTTCAACATCTCAGATTCTTTGAAAACAGGGAATCCCAATTGCCATGATATTTTTGAACTAGTGTGTACTTGTCAAAACTGCAAGCACTTGCCACTTCAGCAGTATTTTCTTGGTCTGTGTGACTCGGAAGACTCGGATAGTGTTAGTAATGATGTAACTGATGTTGAGGAATGAAATTCTAATCTAAATGGAAACGTAAGCAAATATAAAATAAATTGTAATTAAAACCAAATTTAGTGTTTGGCTTTTTAGGTCACCTGAATCACTCAGGTGACCTATTGCTATCTGTTTTTGTCTGTCGTCGTTCGTCGTACATCGTTCGTCGTCAATCGGTCGTAAACTTTTGAACATTTTTAGCTTCTTCTCTGGAACCACTGAACCAATTTCAACCAATTTTGGCATATAGCATCTATGGGTGAAGGGGAGTAAAAATTGTGAAATTCATGGCCCCTGCCCCCCTGGGGCCTGAGGGGTGGGGCTAAAACCATCAAAATTAATGCAATCTTTAAAAATCTTCTTCTTTACTCCTGGACATCAAGCAGTCAAACTGTTGGCATGATTGTAATAAGCATTGAGCCCTCTACCAAAATTGTGAAATTCATGGCCCCAGGGTCAGGGGTTCTGGTGCTAGGGCGGGGCTCTAATGATTATATAGTGAAAATGCATTAATTCTTAAAAAAATCTTCTCCTCTGCTCCTGGGTATTAAGAAGATGAACTAAATACATAGTTATGATGAGCAAGACTGCCTCTTCCAAAATTGTGAATTTCATGGCCCCTGGGTCAGGGGTTCTGGTGTTAGGGCGGGGCTCTTATGATTAAATAGTGAAAATGCATTAATTCTTTGAAAATCTTCTCCTCTGCTCCTGGATATTAAGCCGATGAACTAAGTACATAGTTATGATGAGGAAGAGTGCCTCTTCAAAAATTGTGAATTTTATGGCCCTTGGGTCAGGGGTTCTGGTGTTAGGGCGGGGCTCTTATGATTATATAGTGAAAATGCATTAATTCTTTGAAATTCTTTTCCTCTGCTCCTGGGTAATAAGATGATGAACTAAATACATAGTTATGATGAGGAAGAGTGCCTCTTCCAAAATTGTGAATTTCATGGCCCCTGGGTCAGGGGTTCTGGTGTTAGGGTGGGGCTCTAATGATTAAATAGTGAAAATGCATTAATTCTTTGAAAATCTTCTCCTCTGCTCCTGGATATTAAGCTGATGAACTAAATACATAGTTATGATGAGGAAGAGTGCCTCTTCAAAAATTTTGAATTTTATGGCCCTTGGGTCCGGGGTTTTGGTGTTAGGGCGGGGCTCTTATGATTATATAGTGAAAATGCATCAATTCTTTGAAATTCTTCTCCTCTGCTCCTGGGTATTAAGACGATGAACTAAATACATAGTTATGAAGAGCAAGACTGCCTCTTCCAAAATTGTAAATTTTATGGCCCTTGGGTCAGGGGTTCTGGTTTTAGGGCGGGGCTCTTATGATTATATAGTGAAAATGCATTAATTGTTTGAAATTCTTCTCCTCTGCTCCTGGGTATTAAGCTGATGAATTAAATACATAGATATGATGAGGAAGAGAGCCTCTTCCAAAATTGAATTTCATGGTCCCTGGGTCAGGGGTTCTGGTGTTAGGGCGGGGCTCTTATGATTATATAGTGAAAATGCATTAATTCTTTGAAATTCTTCTCCTCTGCTCCTGGGTATGAAGCAGATGAATGAAGTACATAGATATGATGAGGAAGAGAGCCTCTTCCAAAATTGAATTTCATGGTCCCTGGGTCAGGGGTTCTGGTGTTAGGGCGGGGCTCTAATGTTGTATAACATAAAAGATAAAGTCGAAGGTAGAGTAGAGAAAGTAGAGTAAAAAGAAGGTAATTTTCAAAATGTACCTAAATTTGAAGACATCGAGTGTACCAGGTCATTCATGGACATCAAACAGATAATCTATCAGCATAACTATAATAAGCAATGAGCTCTTTGCGTAAATTGTGAAATTCATGACCGCAGGGTTCAGACTCTGGGGTGGGTGAAAGTTGGATATGTTTAGACAATGAAATGTGTCTTAGAAAATCTTCTTCTTTACTTAAAAACATTAAGAAAGTAAAATATCAGTATGATTATGATAGGCATTGAGAATTGTACCAAATTTGTAAATTTCATGACCCCAGGGTTCAGGTACCAGGGTAGAGATATATATTATATATAACTTGGTCATATTTTATGATTTAAGCAATGCATGAGTATGGAATTCTACTAAATATTCCACGAGTATACAAGGTTTTGCTTCCTAAACTACTGAATGATATGTTAGAATTGTTCTTGTATTAATTTATAATTGAAAAATAATCTGCCCACGATTCGAGTTTATTGGATTAAACAATCCGGGAATATCAATGCTTTTGTACACTTCCGTCCTTTAGACATTTGTTGTAGGATACATCAGTTTGAATTATCTCGATAGTAGCGTTTTACTATACCCTAGTTAGATATCCATGTATTGGGACAGGTCCATAGAAACCTCCTATACATTTACAAAGCTTAATTACGGAGCAAAACTACTCCATGACACTTCATGGGAATGAAACAATCACAATGTTGCAAACTTTGGAGCTTGGTTTAACAAAACTTTTATTAAGATGAAGGTTTTTTGATATATTTTTTTTACGTTTTAATAAATGTTGAGGTTTTTTAATTAATATTTTTTCAGGACTTGCTCCTTGAATGTTGAAGGGCATTATATTTAGTTGTTTACATTTTTAAGGTGATTTTACATCATGATGTATTGTTAAATTTGTACATTAAATGTGTGCACATAGAAAAATACAGCGAAAAAAAAGGTTTTTCTTTATTGTGAAGAAACAGAAAGAATTGCTATCAGGTCTGGTACAATCACTAGATTTAGCTACGTAGCTTGAATTACCTACATAGCTTTATCTACCTTTCCTGAAGTAGCTTTACTTAGCTACTAAATCAAAATTATTTCTTAAATTAGCAATTTTCCCAGAAAGTGCAGAAAATTGCATTTTGATGCAGTGATAATTTTCAACTTTGAACTCATCTGAAAACAATTCATGAAAAAATCACCCTTGGAGATGTGTCTTTTTCTGTGCAATTGCAATCAAAGTTCTAGAAGTTTTGGGGCTATATCCAACAGTTAATTTGTGACCTAACAGTTACTTCTTGAGTGAAATAACAAAGAAAACCAGTTTTGGTTAACATGAGCACAATGTGAAGTAATTATACTTATGCACGCCTCATCGCACACAGGGTGGTGTACAGTTACTCAAACAATGGAAATACATATTTTCCTTAAAAGTGTTCAACCGCAGCAATGTTAAAACTACCCCTGCTTTTGATTGCTTTTTTAATAATACCTAGAATAAATATTAGAAGTCATTTACTTGCGACTTTTTGTCTTTTTAAAATAACAAGCAAAATTGTGAAAAGTTGCCTTGAAATAGCTAAATAAAGCTACCTGAGGTAGGTAAATAAAACTACGGTAGGTAATTTTAGCTACGTTGCCAAATGTACCGATTGTACTGGACCTGATAATAATGAGACCTGTTGTTACTTGCCTTCAATCTAAGTACAAAAGAAGAGTAATAAAATTCAATGTTTAGTATGATAGTGACTATTGGTGTGGTACTTCAACAGTGTTTTCCCTCGTTTCACAGTGCATCATAAATTACCACTGTGCTTCTTGCTATGCATAATCTATTATATGTATATTAAACAGTTTTAATAGGAGGGTTTAGTTAAAACGATACCAGTTAAAAATTTATTCCCGAACAACTCAAATTTTTGTGAACTTGCGTGCATATCATCCAGCATATGATGCATTGAGATTTTTTGCAAGACAAAAATGTAAGAAAGATGCGTTATGGTTAATATACGTTTTATTATGTAATTGTCAAACTTCATTTCATATAATCTTGGGGACTAAATGTTGTTGCACACTTTTGTTTAAATGACATAGGCTGTTTAAGTAGGGACATCAAGGAAGTGAAGTTGAAAAAAAGGAAGGGAGAGTCTCTATTCAGTTTTGTAGACGGCATGCATAACACGGTGCATTAAAAAGAAAAACAGCGGGTCTGAAGGGAAAAAACTAACAAATATATTGATATGTGATATTTCATGATCTTTCTTGAAAAGAAAGTAATATCATGAATATTGAGAATTTAATCACAACATATTTATCCTTTTCATCTGCACATTCTGATTTTAAAAATTTGAAATGTAAAAATGCATTTTAAGTAAAAAATATAAAATTCAAATAGAAGTAACTCACCCTCAGCATGCAGTGCAGCATACACTTATTCAACAACAAAATTCTCCCCATGCATTAAAAATTTCCTGGGGAATACACTGTACTATTCTTAATTGTCAGCATATTTATAAATAATCAATATTACCATGTCAGTTTAGTTGCATTTAAATAATGATTTTTATTTTGGTGAAAAAAGACAGTTATGTATCTTGTTTGGTAAGAA